CCTTCCTCTTCCTCCTCTTCGTCCTCCTCCCGCTGCTCTGCGCGGCCCCCGGTGAGTGAGCGGGCCGGGGTCCGGGATGCGGGGTGCGGAGAGGGAAAACCTAACCCAAAGCGTCCTGGGGAGCAGGGAAAAGCCTTCCCCTAGCTTCACGCGTGGCCGCGTGGGTGAAGACTTTCGGTCACTCCAGAACTTGTGCAAGTTGAGCATCTTTCTTTGAAGAGCTTGTTTCGGAATGAATAGAGCTTTTCGGAGCAGCCGAGCACTTGCAGGTCTCCTGTTGCACTGCCCGTCCCTGGGCTACAGCCTTGGGTCCCTTCTGGGAAAGGGCCTCGGCAGGACGAGAGCCTTGATGTGCTTTGGGATGGACGGGCTGCGAGGAAAACATTAGAAGCAGCCTGGTTGTTAACATGCCCCTTGCTCTGTGGGGTTATCCTGGACGGTGTGACACGGTACTTGCACGGGCTGCGGTCTTCTGCTGCAAAATATTACAGTTTAATTAGCGAAGAAGGCCAGTATTTGGGTTCTCTTGCCAAGAAGGGCTGAGGGGAGGGCGCGGGAGCATCGGAAGCTTCCCCGGAGTGTATGTTGTGCTCAAGTGTGGAAATGGAGCAAAAGGAGGCACTGGGAGAAACTTGCTGCAGAGTTTTGACTGTTGGGCTGGAGCTATGAAAAAAATACTTTGAGATATGATCTTTTTTGTTTTGTTTTGTTTTTATTTCCTTTGTGGTAAGTGTTTTATTTTTAATTGTCTAGATGTTTCAAGGGGAAATAAGCTTAAACAGATGCTCCAGAAACGAGAAGGTAAGTAAAGAGACGGCAAAACGCTTTCCCTTCTTTTCCCTTTGAGTCAGTTGCTATCGGTCAAAGCTGCCAATGTGTTGTCACTCTCAAAGAAGGCAGTCAGAGGAGCAGGTCATAAACACCCTGTTCAAAGCTGGTAGTCCACAACCTCTCTCACTACGTACCATACCAAAACCTCCTGTGCATACGGATCCTGAGCCTGCATGTCCGTTTGTGACTTCATACCGGCAGGGCTGGAGTCACTGCTTATTGTAGCCCCCTCTGAAAACCAGGGTTCCCAGCCTCAGGCAGTACACCTGCACTTCGCTTTGAGCAGTGTATAGCACCTACCTTTTCCAGTGTCTGAATGGCAGACGTGGCATATTTATCTGGTTTATTCTGGGAAGTCACAACGTTTTCCAAGGAATTATAATGCATAGAAATACTGCTGGCTCAGGTGCAGAGGAGAAAATGTGCAAACCAGGCTTGATTGCAATGCCTTGATTTGTTCCATTTGTCCTCTTGGAACCACGTGTGGTTCCTTCTTGGAAGACTCCTTTCTCTACAGGACAGATAATGGCTGGGGCTCTAGCAGGCAGATGCACCGAACGGCTCGCTGGTTGAGGGAAGGGGATGGAAACAGAGCTTGCGAGGGACTGGCAGCACTGCAGCAGATGGGGGACAGCCTGAAACACCCCAGAAGTTTTGGTTGTTTTCCCTCAACCTGCTCTATGGCTGAGACAAAGCATTTATCCCCCCCACAGAGGGGGCTCCCACTTTCTGCAAGCCTGTCTAACATCTCCCTGGGTTTTTCCTGGCATCATCCACCACCTCTTGCCAGCCCTAAAATGTGTGCCCCATCCACGGCTGTTTTCCTTGTGCACAGGTTCCCTACCTCACTGTTCTGCAGTGCTTGCATGCAGGTAGGTCTGACTGCTTCCAACAGCACCCCTCTCTGTGCCCCAGCAGCAGCTGGCTTGTTTGTTCAGGTTCCTCAGTGAGAGGGACCACCCAAGGGGAGGGTTCTTGAGGGCAGATTCAGACTAGATGTAAGGAAGAATTTTTTCATTATGAGGTGGTGGCACACTGGAACAAGTTGCCCAGGGAGGTAGTAGATGCCCCATCTCTGGAAACAATCAAGGCCAGGTTGAATGGGGCTCTGAGCAACCTGATCGAGTTGAAGATGTCCCTGCCCATGGCAAGGGGGGTGGACTAGATGACCTTTAAAGGTCCCTTCCATCCCAGACTATTCTGTGATCCATGAGTGTGCAGACAATATGGCCTAGACCAGGAAGAACTGCAAAGCCTTGAATTGATGATGGAGGGAATATGCAGCCCCTTAATTCCAGCCTCACTCCCCTTTTCCAGCTGTGCGCTAAAGCGAGCAGGCTAAGTACACAGTGCTGGTTCCCTTGCTGGCAGCATCCCTGTGCAAAGGCGCATTCACGCGACATTTGTTCAGCTGTCCCATTTCCCAGTAATAACACCCAGCTCGAGCGCACGGTGAGTGATCAGTTTCCAGCTCATCACCGCAGGGCAGCCTGCTGTTTCCCACTCTTCTGTGACAACTCATCTATCGTTTTTACCTCTTGAGTCTCCTTCCTGCTCCTGTTCTTTACCTCCCCCTGTGAGTCTGCCCAGCTTCTGCTTCGGTGGTTTTCACATCTCCACCCCACTTCCACATCTGCCCCAGCCCCAGCCAAGTGCCTGCCTTTTGGGCATTGGGCAAGCCAGATGGCATGGCTGGGTGGGGCAGGTTGAGGGTGTTCCCCTGCATCCACCAAGCTGTGTGCTGTGAAAGCCTGATAGGTTTTTATTTTCAGGCATACATGGCCTTTAGTAACATTCGTTATTTAAAAGCTACCTTTTTTTTATTTTTTTTTTTTTAACACAAGAGATTCAAAAAATCTGACTTTTTATGTGTGCCTTCCTTCACCCTAATAAGTCATCAGTGTTTCTCCAGCTTCTTCAGGCTTTTTAACTTCACCTCTCCTCTTCATTCCCATTTCTGCAACAGCACCATGCAGAGGCCGGTCTCCTGTTCTCTCCCCAAAGGACACATTGTGTTCATTCTCTTTCAGTTTGGGTTTATTTAAAAAAAAAAATCCTTTTTTAGCTTCTGTCTTTGAGCTCAGAATAGAGAATGAGGGTAACTGAGAAATCCTATCGATGATTCCTGGGTTTATTACTGTTCCTGCTGTGACACGCATCACCCTGCCAAGCACAAAGGTAATGGCACGATACGAGAAACATTTTTCGGTGCAGTACGCTTCAGGCTGACTAAAAATTTCCTGGAATGTCTTTTTTTGGGGGGAATAAATTTCAGCCGCTGTTGCCACGAAGCCCGAGGTGTCAATGAAAGAAAGGGCGGCAAAGGAGTTCCTGAGCAGCCTGAGACGCCAAAGACGCCAGCTGTGGGACAGGAGCCAGCCCGACGTGCAGCAGTGGTACCAGCAGTTCCTGTACCTGGGATTCGATGAGGCGGTGAGTGGAAGGCTTTCAAGGGTCGGGCTCTGTGTTTGTTAGAGATTTCTGCATTATTTTGTTAAGAGAGAAAAATAACATTAAAAGCTTGCGTGGAGTTCTCGCCCGCTACTGAACTTAAGCTTAATAAATTGCAACCAAAGTTTGCTTTGAGAAATAGGTGGCAAGACCCAAAGCAGTCAGTTGTATTTCAGGAAATTAATTTGGCAGCCTCAACCTAATCAATTTGCTTTTTAACACTCTTGCTGTGATTGGCATTCCTCAGTGAAATTGCGCTAACGTTACATACCTAATGCATGCATGGACCTCCATGGTGCAAGCAGCTCCTGACCATCATGAGCACGGGCAGCTGTGCCTTGACTTTAAATGTGAAAGGAAAAACACTGGATAATGTGCAGCCAACCTCCCTTCAAATGAGGATACATTTTTTAAAACCAGTTAATTTGTAAAAATACTGGAGTGGAATCAATAGTTCCCAGCTCTGCAAAAACCTCTACTAAACAGATGCTGAAATAGGGTGAAAAATGTTCATTTTGTTGCGGTCCCACATGTAGAATAATTTCTACGTTAACAAGAGGTAAAAATAGTTATAGATGTTGAATTCTAGGCTTCTGTCAGCTGCATGAATGTGTTTAATGAGATTGCATTGGCACAGGCAAGCTGGAGTCCATTTTGGACCTTTGTGGTAGTTGGATTGCTTGGAAGATGAATGCACTCATTTTCAAAGCTGGAACAACTAGAAAAATAATCTTTTGCTTGGGCTGAAATAATGAAAGATACATTTTTTGTTGCTCCTGGACATTACGCAGATAAAAGTGACTTTTTAACAGCATGACCATATCCCCCTCCCCCAATAGCAGTAGGAAAAATGGGAAAAGTGGTTTTTATGCCTCAGAAACTGAAGACTGGGGGCAAATACTAGGAGGTAAGTAACAAACCATGCACTCCTCTGAGTTCCTGTGTGCATTTCAAAACCTGAAATGAGGCCTGTTGTGGGATACAATGAATCCACTTACTAGGTTTTCTTGAGTATTAAGACACAGTTTTAACAATGAAATAACTGTTTGTTCCAGCAAAGGACTCGGGCCATACTTACCATTGTGTATTTTGCAAAACTTTTTTTTCAAATCTCAGCCAAAAAATATTTCCAAAGAGTCATTCAGATGGAAAGGCTTTAGCTTGGCAATTATGTGATACCCTTGCACACAGTTTTTCCTCTGCTGTTGTGTGCATAATTGAATTGCTTACTGCATTGCCGTAGCTAGAAGGCTGCACTGTACGTTTGTTTGTACCCATGCAAAATGGGAGTGAAAGATCCCAGGCAAAAAGTAAAAGCCTTTTGCACCACTTTGCAGTCAAAGACATGGTGACTAAAGCCACAGGGCAACAGAGAACCAAAGCTCTAAAATACAAAACGTTGAAATGTTTTTATAGTCCACCACTGAAAAGGTAATGGACATATTAAAGGTGCTCAGCATGTGTTTCAGTTGCAGGCGCTCTCAGGTTAAGCAGTGGGCAGAGGGGGTGGGAGTGGGTCCCAGGTGGGGCTGGGCAGGACAATTCCTGCACTTGGGACCCTGATAATTCCATAGAGAAGGGAGGTACCCATCACAACCCCCCTTAGATCTAAAGATTTTGTTTTGACAAATATGCAAAGGATCTGAATTTCTGAAAGAGACAAAAGGAGCATCTTGCACCCCTCTGTTTCACTCTCTTCGTTGTAAAGTTTCAAGCTCGGAAATTTTTTTTTTTTTTGGCAGAAATTTGAAGATGACATGTCCTACTGGACAAGCTTGGGGCGTGCTCGTAATGAATACTATGGTGGCTACTACCAACACCACTACGATGAAGATTCACCAATTGGCCCACAAAATCCACACACCTTCAGGCACGGAGCAGGTGTCAACTATGACGATTACTGATGCCATTGATCCTGCTTGAGCTGGTGCCTATAGGGCTGCACTGGGTGAGGCTGAGTCCTCCCTCAGGCAGAATGATCCTGCTTTCCTCTTATTCATGTAAAACAGCAAGAGTAAAAAAGAGTAAAGAAACTGCTGGGCTTTGAAGAAAGCACCATGACTTTTTTTAATTATCATTACTTAGTAGTGCACTATATAGAAAGTGTAATAGAAATAAAGCTTTTTTGATACAATAAACAGGTTGCCATTATTTAGTAGAGTTTGTAGCAGCGAGTTCAATTCCAATTGTATTACTACAGATTCCTTTTTTTTAACGGGCTTTTTCATTTGCTTTCCTACAATCAATTGCAAAATTACATTGTATCATCTAGTTTGGCATAGAGAATACATAATATAAGCCAATGCATTTCATATGTGCCTGCTCATGCAGATTTCTGTCAACAAATAAATCCAACTATTCTTGGAGGAAAAGAAAAAAAAATTCCTCTCAACTCAAGCACTGCCTTGTTGCCTCCTCTGCTGTTTCTGTACCTACTGCGCACAGCCCTCCAAACTTGCGTGGCATGGCACTTCAACAGATCCTGCTGAGGCAAGGACACCGATGTTCACAAAAGCTAAATTCAGTGCAGAGAAGCTCGCCTACCTGCAAAGCCTGTGAAAGGAAAGGATTCTCCAGGCTCAAAACAGAAACCTGACTTCAGAAGTAACTGCCGAGATGCAGAGCATCTAACCTGAGTGGCTCCTACCCCTCCCTGGCACAATAACCCAAAGGTCATCCTTGATGAATACTCCCCTTTGCATCCTTTCCACTTAGCTGCAAACTTTCAGTCTATCTCAAAACGCAATAAAACAACAAAATAAGCTATTTAAAATTAAATTAGGATCAGATAGCATCCAACACAGTCCCCAAACATAATTTCCTACCATGAAGTCGCCTCTATCCCCAGTTGAAACTGGAATCCATACACACAGAGTAGGCTGAGCATCAGAATACATCAGAGACTGGGCATTTGTTAATGAAATTTAGTGGATTAAAGGGGGCTGGTTGGTGGAGTTGTGTTAAGAACCCCCAAGTTCAACCAACTTTCCTGCCACAGCAACACCAGCCAGTTACTGTAGACCAAGTCTTCATGCAGACCAAAGGCTGGGAGGGAGATTTTGGCTGTCAAGGGCTTCAGGAGGAGGTTGGTAGGGGAAAGCACTGCTGGAGCTGGACAAGCACAGAGGACCGGGAAGGGACAGGTGAGGAAGGCTGGCTGGGTCCGTGACTTCTGGAGCTGGAGAATCAGGATAAAGAGAGATGAAACACGAACTGCAAACTATAGCAGTTGGAGAAGAAAGACCGCATGGATGCTTTAGCTGCCTGTCACCTGAAGCATCCAAGAAGTTTCCAAAGGCTGGATCATGACAACACCATTCTTTACACTTCACTTCTTTCTTAACTCTGTGTTTCCTAATCTTTCACTTAAAGCCCCCGTTGCATGATGGACTGGTGTCCAGGAGAGGCAGCCCAGCACTAAGCAGCTCCCTGAAGGAACGCTTCCAGGGAGACAGCTTTTTGCTGAGGGAGCCAAATTGAACAAACACGTTAGTCACTTCTCTGCACGCACAGATACGTGCTAGCCTAACATGCTGCAAAAATTCAGCTTTCCCCTAGGTTTTGGAGCGCTTGCTCTAAGCAGAAGCCTTGCCAGTTTAATTGGTTTAAACTGGTCCGTTTCCTCAGTAGAAGACCCTTTATTCCCCATATGGAATAATCATATTCTGAGTCAAGCACACACTCTTGGCGCAGTTGGAAAACACGTATTCCTAGAAGAATACTTCAATTTTGTGTCCTATCAAAAAAGTGCACAGAATTTGGCAACATTTGAACCATGCTGATAATTTCCATCATTTCCCAGAATTTACAACAACTGGGAATTCAGACCTGCTGAATAAAGAAGAATAAAAAAAAGTGCTGTAAATAAATACCATCCCTCCCTAGGCCTTTGTAAGCTGTGTCCATTCTTGCAGGCTGACTCAGTCCAGCAGCTTTCTGTGCCTTGCGGGCTCACAACAAAATCTGCGATCTCTCTCTTGTGGATTCCCTAAGAGAAAAAAATATAAATCTTTTCCATTACATTGTGCCCCACACTGAAGTTTTCCCTCCATGTACTGGGGACTGGCTGGGACAGAGTTAACTTTCTTCATAACAACAGGTATGGTGCCATGTTTTAGATTTATGACTAAAACAGTATTGATAACACAGGGATGTTTTCACTGTTGCTGAACAGTGTTTGCACAACATGAAGGTCTCATCTGTTGCCCCCACTACCCACCCAGCAGGCAGGCTAGGGGCAGGCAAGAAGCTGGGAGGGGAGACAGGTGGGACAGCTGCCCCCAACTGTCCAATATTCCAAACCACATAACATCCTGCTCAGCAATAAAAGCTGGGAAGAGGAAGAAGGGGTGGGGGTTTTATCTTCCAGAGTAGCCATTGCTCAGAGACTGGCTGGGCATCGGTTCTGTTTAGGGGAGATGGTGAGTGGCCTTTGTACCACTTGGGTTTTTTCCCTTCTTTCCTTCACATGTTAAACTGCTTTTATCTCAGCCCTCAAATTTGTTCACTTCTGTTTTTCTTATTCTCTCCCCTGTCCTGTTGGGGCAGGGGAGTGACTGTCTGTGAGGGTACTCAGGTGCTGGCTGGGGTCAAGCCACCACAAGGCAATAGCTCTGAGGGGAGGGCACCCTCCTTCTTGGAGATGGGTCCACCTGACTTGAAGTGCAACGGTTGCAGTAGTGCAAAAGCACATGCAGTAAGCCACAAAGCAAGCAGGCATGAGCCATCACAGGCTTGGGCAAAAAGAAGAAAACTAACAGAAAAAATAGTTGGTCAAATATGCACAGAGTGCTTCAAAGTGAACTACATTAACAAAGGTAATTTCCTTTGACTGCTTCTGTCCCAAAAACACAGACAAAACTGTGCACCCCCTTCCCAGCCTGTCCACTCTGCTGTGCAGACAGCACAGAGTGCTTCACATCATCATCATCATCCCCAGCCATCCTGGCACTGACATCACAGAACCTCTCCATCAAGACAGAAGAACAGCCATTGTTCATTGTGGCTCCCTACGGAACAGCTTGGCCATGGTCCAGCTCTTCACGTTTTGAGACCCGATGCTGCCACATTCCCCAGTTTGTGGATGTCAGCAAGGCAAGTCCATCAGTCGGACTGGGGGGCAGTCCTGCCTCCTTTGCTGATAACACCTGCCAGGTAACCCTTCAGTCAAAGCACAGAAGTACTACTGCCATGCCCCCACAGCCACTCTCATATACTCCCCCAGGTCTAGGTATCTCTCCCTCCAGATCCAGTTCTTCAGCAGCAGCCTTAAATATATATTTGCCTTTTATTTTTTTTGGCTTTCATTCCCTTGAAGGTCGCACTTGTAACAAACACTTTGGGGATGGGGCATTGGGCACTTTTACCCGAGGACTGTTTTCCGAATGGAAGATGTAGGCTTCCTTGCTCAAAACAGCTTTCTCTGCAGTGGGGTGGATAGAGCTCTTCAGGCCACCTCATAGTTCCCTGTGGCTACGAGTTTTGGATGTTCCAGCTGCTTCAGCCATGGCATGGACCAAGGCATTCAGGGGATCCCCCTCCTTGCTGAAGAGCATGTCGGAAACTAGGCAAAACATAACAAGAATGAACCAGCTGTTGCTTGTTCCAAGCTGTAAATGGCAACAAAACAAGGCAGACAAAAAGTTGTTGCCATGTTTGCTGTTATGGAATAGGCAAGTGAGAGAAGGAAAGGGTCTGTGAAAAGGAATAGAGAACCAGAGTTTGTTTTTTGCAAGAAATATGAATTGTTATTTCAGAAAAATCTCCCTGTGGATATGGAATTGCATTCAGGAACCTCCTGACACACAAAAGGAGCCCTGCTTTTGTCCAGAGCTATTGCTGCTGTTCCTGGTAGCTCTAAGGGGTCTGAGCCACGAATAAGGCATTCCCTTCTCCTACCACTTGTAATCCATGTGCTGGGAAATGGTCACAACAGAGCAACTATGAATTTGTGGTGGCTACATTCCCACTGATTTTGGGGGAGGATGTATGGATGTTAGGGCTAGCAACGCCGAGTACACATTTCCCTTGCTATTAACAAAGCATCTTCTTCCTGTGGACAGGTCTTCTCTGATCGGCCTCTACAAACCTTCAAGGACTTCTTGGCCTCAAGTGGCATTAAACTCAATACTGATAAAAGCCTGACGACTGACTCCATCCATCACACTAATCAAAGCCCCAGTTTGCCCTCTGTAGCCTGTTCTCCAAGGCTAACGAATTTATGCAATTGTGTTTGTGTCTTCCCCCACCTCCCTTCCCTCTTTCTCTCTGCTTTAAAACTCAGTTTCAACCCAATCTGACAGAAGTGAAGGTTTTTTCAAATATCATACATTTCTAGAAGTTTCTTGAAAAAAAAACAGATGACCGAGAAACATTCATAAATGCCCAGAGGGCAGTGAGCTCACTGGCTACTAAACTCGCCAGAGTCTATATAGGTTAAGAGGAGCTGCAAAGACTCTAGACACAGGAAGACTGTCAGATCATGATTTCCCCACATAGCAAAAAAATCTAAGCTAAAGATGGACATGAGGCTTCTCTAGACTATACATTAATGGAACTCCTTAAAACAAATTAGGTCCGCCAGCCTCACTGTAGCTTGTCTGTAGATCACCAATGTGGTTTACAAAGTTTCCAAACAGCCTACATATAAATAAAGCGGAAGTACATCACGTTTGTTTGTTTTTTTTTTTAAATAAAACAAAATGCAACTGTGGAGTTCTCACTGTGGTAACTTTTAGCAGGAAGAGTGGTCCTCCTTGTGAGGTTCAAGGAATCCACAGCAGTGGATGCCTTGCAGCATCTCTCCAAGCTGGCCACATGCCTCTGTTACATTGCATATTCCTTACTGAGAGAGGACTTGCATCTAACACCAGTTGAGCTGCCTGCTCATGCAGACCGCTGTGACTAAATAGGCACCTCAAGCCTGCTCATGTCAGTTTTACCATGCCTGCCTGGCCAGGTGACAGCAGAAAAATTCCAAGTCTCAAATTCCTTAAAAAAAAAAAATTACAATATGTTGTGTTCAGGCAAGGAAATGAGAATATGGCTTGGTTTCATTTAAACCCAAGTTCTATGCTTCCAAGCTTTCAGTGCTGTATTCCACCACCCTCTATCAAAAGTGGCTCTTCTGAAGAGGCACCTGTGATTCCCTGCAAACTTGATACCTTCTTTCTCCTTCTGAGATCACAGAATCATAGAATGCTTTGGGTTGGAAGGGACCTTAAAGATCATCGAGTTCCAACCCCCCTATCATGGGCAGGGACACCTTCCACTAGACCAGATTGCTCAAAGCCTCATCCAGCCTGGCCTTGAACACCTCCACAGAGTATAAACCCAGCTGGGAGCAGAGAGCAGCAACATGCAAACCCTCATCTGCCTTCTCCAAGACTCAGTTCAGACCAGACCAAACTTGAAATTACCCCAGACTTTCAGTCTTAAGCACCAGCAGACTGTTTTAACACCCACAATTCATGCTTTTCGAATCAGCTAGAAGGTCAAGCATTAGCTTCAAACACAAAAGGCAATACCTGCCTCAGTTGCTGTTTCTGGAAGACACTTTTTAGAAATACAGCCACTGAACCAGGAACCTCTGAAACAAAAGCTAGAAACAGTACAAGGAAAGTAGCAAATCAATACAGACTGTCACTCAGGCCCAGTGGGAGGCATGCCACATACTCACAGATGGGTTGTATTGGTACCAGCCATTTGTCCTCTCTCTTACCTGCTCTTTTAGGAAGGAGGTCAGGCTGTGAAGTAACCTAAAAAACTTTTAAATTCATATCTGTAGTAACCGAGTATTCAGGTTTCCTGAGGGATTTTTTTTTTTTAAATGCACATTTTGTCCTAGTCTCTAGAAGCATGCTTGTTCCAGTAAAGTTTACATATTTTGCACCGAAGTAATTGGATTAAATGAAAAACAGTCCTGGAAGTAACTACTGGCACCCACAGCTCCCCTTTTTTCCCCTCAATGGCTGCTCTAAACGCTGGACTAGGGTTGCATGCTTGTGTACCACCTCTTCACAGATGCTTTGGCATCCAATGGCACAATTTGCATGAGGAGTAAAATATAAGGAGAAAGAGCACCTTCCCCCACATGTAATCTAGAGCTTAAGTGTTAAAAACAGCATGCTGGGAGCTGATTAACAGTTCTCGCCATAGAACTATTAAAGAAGTGGGCACTACTTTCACATACATCCAGCTGTGGTTTTGAGTACGAGGCTGTGCTTTGTGAGCATATCAGTAATGATAGGTTACAGGCACATTTGGAGCACACACACCACAGTGTACTTTTCAGGTGATTTAATATGGAATAAATGCCCAGATCAAGTACCCAGAAAAAGGCTTCAAACAAAAAGCAGACCTCAAGCTGCTCAGCTGTGAAAAGATGGAGGCAATATGTAATACCTGAATTCCACCACCAAGTGCAGACAGGGAACTGCTCCTTGACTCCCCATATTAGCTGCCTGGCAGATTTCCCCTGGAAGAAAACCTGCGCATGTGAACAGGGAAGAAACTGTTTTGTCCTAAAAGGATCACAGCAGACCTCACCCAGGTGGGGCACACAAACAAATGCAACAGCCCCATCGTTGCTGGAGTCCTAGGGAACTTTACCAGGCAGACTGGATGGGACTCCAAGCCTTGCAAGCACTGGAAGGCTCTGGCGGATGGCACAGTATGACAAGGGGCCTGGACACCACACTGTTCCCAGAGTCCTCTCTGGGTCTGGGCATTAAGTCATCAATACAGGCAACTCCCACTTTGAACATCAACCTAAAGATACTCCAAAGCTAATGAAACATCAAGCTTTAATAATATAAAGCTAAGCCATTTTCCTTCATGAGACTTAGGATTTTCAATTTTGAGCAGCACTACCTTTTAAAAACTCTCTGCCATCTCCCCTCCTAGGTATCCACCCTTAGATATTAAAAATAAAGGGGAACTGGAGTTTTTTTTTTTTTGTTTGTTTGGGGATTTTTTTGTTAAGATGACAGGCACAGTTATCACAGTTGAAAGCATTTACTGACAATTCAATAACTCTTTAAAATAAAAAGACTTCCCCAGTTACGGAGGCTGAAGAGTCCATGGTTTAAAGAAAATCTTTTACCCCTGCATCACTATCAACTACCTGAACTGGAATAAATCATGAAGTTTTTGTCCAGTCTATTTCAACAGACATCCTGCAGCGTTTCCTATATATCTATTAAGAGACAAGCAATGACAAACCAATGTTATTAACTTTGAGCCAATTATTTACAGACTGTTACTTTCTAATTAATAAATGCACAGATGTGTAATGCCAGAGAAGTGCCCACAGTGAAACCCCAAAACTAGTAAATAGAAGTTTCAATATTTTATTAAAATAGCATATTCAACCACTGTAACCAATAATACATTAACTTTATTCCCAGAGTACGCACAACACAGTAGTGATTCAAAATATCCTTATCCATGGTAATCAATGAAAATATCTCAAATTCAAGTGTACAACTAAAGCTAAACCCTTGAAAAAATCTCTCCTTTAAAGAATACATAAAGCTCTCATACAGAATTCTTTTAAACTCCTCTGTACTTAGATGTCAGTATCTCTCACCTGACAATACCACTAGCTTTTTTCTTATGCATAGTAGAACATCTCATATTTTATAGTACCCATTTTATAAATAAATTGGCATTTTCCATCCCGTTTGTGTTTATCTTCAGCTTCACAAAGAAACCAGTAAATAAAACTGTCAAGGACAGTCACAACAAAATGATCTCACAGCAAGATATAAAACTTGAAGATACTAAAGGATGCTCCTACTCTATTTTACATAAAAAGACAGATTTAAAAAGTGCAAGGCAAGATTTGCAGGGGAAGGGGAATATTTGTTATTTTTAGGCACATCCACTTCTTTAAAGCAAGCTTCAGAATGAAATTCCAGTTTGTTCTTCATGATACCTGTTTCAAAGTCTCTCTCTCAAAAAAAAAAAAAAAAAAAAAAGAAAAAAATTACATCCGTCAAACGTCAAGCAGGGAATCTCCTGTCCAACTAACAGTCTTCAGTTATGTCTTGTTCTTCCTTTTTTCATCCTTGCAGGTTTTGGTTTGGGAATATACTGATTGTTCGCTTGATACTCAAGTTCTTTACGGAAGTAATGAATTGCTTTATTCAAACCTTCTTCCAATGGGACCTGTTCCCAAAAGTGAGGGGAGAATCAGTTCACTCTCAGTTCACATCAGCTCTTTTCACAACAGTATCTTTTTTAATACAGCTATCAAAAAGACTGCTAGGAAGTCTAATTCTTAGCTGATATAAGTATTAACAGCACCACATACTGGTTACATCTCTGCACTGCTAATGCATGTTAGCTTTTAAACATCAGATATATTTTCTGACACAGCAAGTCAAACAAACAAACAAATTTAAATCTCATCAGATGTTTATGATTAGTCTGTTTAGTGTCAAAAGAGACTCACATAATTCTACTCTCAATTCATAATATGTTGAAAGAGACAAGCACACAGAAGTCTAAGCCCATTCTGGTTTTAATCATTAAAAAGATCCTCTTTCGCAGAATCTCACAGAATGGTATATACCACAGAAAGGTATAAAGGTGGTGGGGGTTTTTTTTTCAGTTTTTATTTCTTCAGTGTTCCATTGATATACAGAAAAAGGGATACAAATTATCATCTAGAAGCCCATTTGATATTCTTAAATCCTATACAAGTAATTGTAATTCTTCATATTCTACGCCTGTATTTAAGCACTATGATTTGCAGACAGAAACAACGGAAATACTACCCACTTTTCTCAGGAGCCATACGCTCTGACATGCTTGCTGATTATCATCATCAATAAAATAGCAGAACAAAAACTACTTGCCTTGATGTACCAAGACTGTATCGCTACTTCAGAGGAAGTTTTGGTACTGACTGTGCCAAACACAGATGATCAGAAGTATAAAAGTTAACTGTTTTAAACGTTTTGTCACAGTAACACTTGCCATTGTCCTCGTGCTTTCAGGCACAGCCTATTAATAATTTGGTGCCTCCGGGAATCTTTTCAGAAGGGTCTGGAGCAACCTTTTCTATTAATAGGCTTACATTTACTAGGTAGGTTCACATGTTTCCTGGAAAGATTTTTGTCTGCAAATCTAAAAAAGCCCCCAAACCACTGCACTAGCTGAAATGGAGACCTGGCTAAGAAAGTCACACAATTTCTGGGGATTTAAACAGTCCTTACCTCCCCAAACCAACCAGCTCTTACCATCAGCTATGCCTGGTTATACACTTGCACAGTTAACTTCACCAAAAAGGTTGAGAAAAGAAAAAACCAGCAATAACAAGCATTTTGCATTTCTTGTATATTTGCTGTGCAGAACCACCACGATCTTGACATCACCTCAGATGGCTGGTAATTAAGCGTTACAGGTGGACAGACATTGTGGGTGGTGAGCTAACCCTGAGCATGTTTACAAGCTTATCAATACAGAACAAGCCTTGAACATCTCTACATATGATACCTGTAGTCCAAAAATAACAGCTGCTTATTCTGGTTTACTTCAGTCCACCAGAATAAAAAAAAAGTGTCATCTCTCTCTGGCTAGCTTCTGTTTTGCCCAAGTTTCACATATTTCTTTAAAAAAACCTCTAAAGCTCTGAACATTTTTCTGGTGCTCATATTTCTCCCTATTAATCCAAACAACCTTTTTGGCTACAATGATCATCTTAAGAACCATCCTACTCCAAAGATTTTCTAAAAATATTTTAATTAAATAAAAGGAATTTTTTCCTTCCATAACGCATATTACCAATGCAAAACAGGAATGAGGATTGAAGCACAACAGCAAACTCATTAGCTGCCGTAACTATGTACCACATATTTCAAAGGATTCATTGGGCTTACAGAAAGGCAGACACTTCATAACATGCATGTGAAAAAGTTAAAATGCCTATCCTAACAATGATTTTTTTCTACTTAAGTCTATTACAAATGCTAATCTGTTCTTCCGCATGGCACAATCGGTACAATCTTACCCAGTAGTTCTTGACTCACTCGTGAGCTAGGGCAACATATGAGAGACAGCCTTTGAAACAACAGTCCTGGAGATTGTGTTAAGGAGATATTCTGATAACTGAAACATACCATTATCACATGGTCCTCCCCCAAAAAATCCCCATGGTCCTCTCCCTGCAAAAATTTGCACACAACAACAGTAATCCAGCTGTACATACCACAGGTTCCCAGCCAAGCAATAACTTGGCTTTTCTGATGTCAGGTTTTCGTTTCTGAGGGTCATCCTGCGCTTCTGAGAGAAACTGGATTTCACTCCCACTGCCTATTAAACAAGAGACTGTGCGTTATCACCTGAAATTCACTATGCTTTGCATTTACATCTTTCCTACCTATTGGAGCATCAAGTCTTTCTGCAGCTTTCCACTTCATAATTTTACCACTGAAATGCCTTCCACAGACACAGCTGCACTGCATGCAACAGCTGGGTGAACCAGCTGTCCCACAGCAACACAGATTCACAAAGCATTTCACAAACACAGATTCACAAAAAGGAATTTATGCTTGACCGGTCTAATAACCTTCTACGAGGAAATGACTGCTTCAGTAGCCAAGGGCAGAGCAGTGGATATCATCCACCTTGACTTCAGTGAGGCTTTTGACACTGTCTCCTGTAACATCCTTATTGAGGGCTGGATGAGCAGACAGTGAGGTGGATTGATTACTGGCTGCGTGGCTAGGCCCAGAGTGTGGTGATCAGCAACACAAAGTCTGTTTGGAGGCCGGTAACTAGTGGTGTACCCCAGGGATCAATACCAGGTCAATGCTGAGTTGCTGATACACCAGAGGCCTGTGCTGCCATCCAGAGAGACCTCAATAAAGGAAGCTGGAGAAAAGGGCTGACAGGAACCTCAAGTTCAACAAGAAGCACAAAGTCCTGCAGCCAGGGAGGAATAAACCCAAGGCACCAGTACATGCTGGGGGTCAACCAGCTGTAAAGCAGCTTGGCAGGAAAGGACTTGGGGGCCCTGGTGTACACCCAAGTTGAATACGAGCCAGTAACATGCCCTTGCCACAAAGAAAGCAAGTAGTATCCTGGGCTGCAGTAGGAGGAGTGCTGCCAGCAGGTCAAGGGAGATGATCCTTCCCCTCTACTCAGCACTGGTGAGATACATCTGTAGGGCTCAGTCTAGTTCTGGGCTCCCCAGTACATGAAGATGATGAAAGGATAGGAGCATCTCTCCTATGAGGACAGGCTGAGAGAGCTGGGACTGTTCAGCCTGGAGAAGAGAAGGCTCAGGGGGATTTCATCCATGTGCACAAATACCTGATAGGGGGACTAAAGAAGATGGAGCCAGGCTCTTTTCAGTGGTGCCCAAGGACAGAACCAGAGGCAATGGGCACAAACTGAAACAGGAGGTTCTCTCTGAACATCAGGAAATGCTGTTTTATTGTGAGGGTGACCCAGCACTGGCACAGGTTGTCCAGTGGGGCTGCGGAGTTTCCATCTTGGAGATACTCAGAAGCACTCTGGACATGGTCTTGGGCCACTGCCAGCTACAGGTGGCCCTGCTTGAGTAGAAGGGTTGGATCAAATGTCCCCCAGAGGTGCCTGCTAACCTCAACCATTCTGTGATTGTTAGCATTGTTGTATAGTAAAAGGACTTCACTTACTCTTTGCCCTTACTCTTCAGTCTGATCTAAAGAACCAGCATAGTATTTGCTGTTCCTCATGACAATACACAAACAGGACATTTTTTCTAACCAAATCTAGCAGTCTACATACCATGTTACTGTGGGATTTTATGAATGCAGAACTAAACCATGTCTCCAGGTGGACTGAATCAGATCAAGTTGTTTGTGAACAGACAAATGGAAGTAACAATTATTCTATGTGCCTAACTGGGTTTGGTGCTGTGATTTTCGATTCCTTTCCCTGATCCGTGGAATCATAGACGTTTTCGAGAGGTGGCAGTCCTCTATTAGAAACATCACATGCCTCAGCTTCTGTACTGTATGTTTGAACTTGTCTTTTTCAGATCCTTCAGAATCACTGCTGGAAATCTATAGACTACAAACCCTTGGCTAATGGCACCAGTATGTTTCATCTCATTAGGAAGCTGCACTAGACTAAGCACAGCCATTCACTTCCATTCTTCAGAACTTTGATTTGCTACAGGTATCAAAGCAAGAATGAAGATAAAGCCACAGTGTTTTCTTCCCAGCCCCATATAAGGGAGGTGCTGACAGCCCTTGCAAGAGTCACCAGTAGATCAGTGAAAAGTAGAGAAAGACTGCCACCACAGCAGGAGGTTTTTAATGCTGGTTGAAGAACAGCCTGCAAAATTGTGAAGAACCACCTTGCTGAAGTATCCATATTTCAGCTAAGATGGTATGCAAGACATTTTCATTCATGTGTTTTACATGTCATTTATGCATTGTCCTTGTGCCAAAACAAAGCTAAAAAATGCATAAACATTATCCAAAGTAATTGGTATAGACTGCACATGTACAAAGAAAGAATGCACTCATTCTACTGTTCATGCAAAATTTCACATACAATTGAGAGGATTTGGATTATCTTATTGACATTTAATTATATGATCAGGATACAATTAAATGCCTTTGATAAAGTTACTAAGAAATCTGAAGACCAATTAAATTATCCATGTATTACACACACTAATCAAGTAATCTTCATCTAACGACAGTAAGTACTGCGTAAGCTTTACTAGGAATTACTTATCATACTCACCAACAAGTTTTTTAATTAACTGGGCAAATTCTAGGATAGTGTGCTCTTCTGGGTTTAAAGGGATATTCATTACAACAGCAATTAAACACCAATTCTAAGAGTCATGTTGAACTCTGAAAAAGCTATGCCTTATTCTTATTTTGATGAAAAAAAAATGTAAACTTGATAAGCTCCATACTCATTAGAAAAGTTGCCCTCCATTATATTTGTCTTGGTAATTCAGTATATGTAGGGGGGTGTCTAAAAATATCAGTCTGCAAAGAATGGGGAAATGCACCTCAATCACAGTAAAGGCATATACCCACTCAGCAGCCCACACAACCACATCATTTGTTTGAAATCTGGATTCAAGGACTTTGCTGAGTTGAAGACAGACTATTTAATGAAGTATGCTAAATACTCAGTTCATCCAAAGTTAGGAAACCAAGCTAATTTAGCTGCAAACAATTGCTTCCACGTTTACTATAGCTTACATATCAATATATAAAAAGGCTACTTGCTTTCCTACACAGTATTCCTTTACTTAACTCTCATTTTTTTTAACCAAGTTGCATGCGAACTCCTGATCAACACTTCAGAACAAAATGCTGAAAGCTTCCTGTTAGCATAAGCCCACCTTCATCAGACTCAACTCTCTCCACCCCTAGCTCTCCCTGTTGCCAAACTCTTCTTACTACATCATTTGACCTAAAACTGAACGTTTAGGTACCTATAGATTTAAGCATAGAGTTTTCTGGAGACAAAACATGTGATGAGGTTGGATATCAGCATTTAGACAGAAACATAGAAATTAATTTATGGCCACAGTAAAAAAAGGAAAATCTAGTGAACAATTGCCCTGCAGAATTAAATACGTGATTTGGAAAAAGTTGGCATACACAGAAATGACCCGGCATATACATCCTTTTTTCTATTCTTATATCCACTGCTGAGAATAAGGTGACAATAAATGGGACAGAACAAAAATCTTATTATAAAAGTTCTAAGCACCCTTAATCAGTACTAGAAAATTATACAATCAAATACGATCCCATTTTCCTCTAATCAAGGCTTGTACAAATTGATTTCTAATTATTTAGAGCTAAGTATTCCTTCATCACTTTTTTTCATTAACAGCGGACTTTAATAATTTCCTTGGTGTATTTTGCATGTGCCCCCACCATTTTGTTCGGGTTTTTTTCCCCATATTCTAAATACATAGATCTTTTTGATAAAACAAATTAAAAACTCCAGCAAATTTATCCTGTTCTTGGAACTAAGAGATCTCAACACTTAGGGACTCACTCTTCTTACTTATAAAGAGAATACATGGAAGAATACCTTATTGAAAATGGAAAGAACTTTTTTACTCCATTTATTTCTTCTAGAAATCAGCGTCAGTGAGAAGGAGAAAAATAGAGGTGATGCTGGCCACTGCACAGTAACCACAGAAGAGTAGAGCTCTCATACTCACCAAGTTGACAGGACTGCTGACATTGCTGTTCATCAACGCCACCAACCCATTCACAAGATCACTATAAAAAGGGAAGAACAGATTGAGGCAATTTCCACTTCCCTATAAATAATATTCTCGACTAAAAAGAGAGCTCCAGTAAAGCAGATCAGGCAACTGAGTGAGGAATGCTGAAATCAGATTTACAGTGTATACTTTAATGGGTGCATGTTTCCTCAGCTATTTGTTCCACAGTCCCTATCGTAAGGTATACTGAACTGGAGGTTAGTTTGAAAGGGTGATTATCTTCAGGATACACTGGCTATAGTTCATCTAAGCATATGAAAGAATATAAAAAAATATCAAGTTACTAAAAAACAATACTTCCTCTTCCCTCCAGTACCCAAGCATATTTAGAGGCCCATTTCCAACATATTTCAAACAGAACAGAGTAAGTTGTTAGACAGAGGCACATGATGCCACCACCTGCTTTGCAATTTTTTTGTTTGAATTGTCTTTTCACTTTCAGAAATTCTTAAACCAGGTTTGTTAAAACCCAGTATTTTGGTGTTACCTCCACCCAGCAAAATAACCCGAAATTATTTTGGGTTATCAGCAATAAACTTATCTGGTCATCCCTGGGCATACAAATCCAGATCCCTTTCATTACGACTTACAATCAGGAAAGGAGTGGCTACTTTGAACTGATGGGGTTTCCATAGCATCTATCACCACTGTTATTACTTTCTAGCAGAGGGAAAGAACATTTCCAAGAGGAGAATGATTAAAACAATCCAGAAGCCTGGCACAGAAGTTTAGCTAGCACGACAGAACAAAAGATTCTGAGGAACAGATTCACTTTTTCTTAGTGAAAGTACACTCTGGCCTTGCTTACGCTGCCAATATCGGCTACAGCAATGCACCCTCAACTGGTTCCTTCCTGCAGAAGGTACCCGAGCAGGTACAGTACACACACTGCCCACAGCACCAAAGACACAAGGTGGCACTATTGCATTAGAATGCAAGGACTGACAAACTGCTCAGCATTAAAAAAAACAAACTTACCTACCAGTTCCTTGCTGTCCCTTGAAGGGAAGAACATATTAATAACTCAATTCAAAGTTGTAAACCAACTAACGTTTTGTTTCTTGGTACTTTTAAACTTCTGTGTCTCCCTTCTGAAAGTAAAGCTGGCCTAAGAATTAGTATAATTTCTTTGACTAAAACGCACATGCATACAAACCTGGCCAGGCTCAAAGAACCATCAAGTGAAGTAAATATCAGACAGCACAAACAGGGCTTACCTGACATACTGGAAAGCTCTTGTTTGAGTTCCAGGTCCATAGACCTAAAACCAGATGAAAATTAGAAAAGTTACATAAGTACAAAAGTCCTCTCTAGCTCAACTATCTTTCCCTCACCATTCTAGAAAAATATCCCAAGGAGAAACACCTGAGACACAAGCTCAATGTTGAAGGAATGGAAAAAGATGTGCTTGCAGAGCCTTTGGAAAAGAATCAGTTTTTTGACGGTCTTTTTCCTCTTGGATGCAACTTAAGGATTTTGTTAACGAGAACTCTGGATGTAGGAAACATTCTGAGGGATGTAGGACAGAGTGATGCTTTGTCCTCTTCTGGCACACTGAAAGAGGCTGCAGCATGCACTCAGCCACAAAAAAATGCCAAATATTTAGAGCAAACCTCAGAATACTAAGATGTGGTTATGATGAATAATTTTTATTTGCTCATTAACAACAGATAACTTCAAAGAGACCACCAAATGTTAGTGGTCTTTAAAAAAAGTTGTCAAGGAAAAATAGGACTGTAAGTGTTCAAAGAAATTAGAACTAAAAAAAAAATTATCATGACTCTCTAAATATTACTATCTGGGGAAATGGCAAGTAGAATCATTCTTAGAGGCTAGAACTTTAGAATAAGCAAGTTGTTTAAGTTCAAAACAGATACTAAAACATACCTAAAATGTACATAATATCAGATAATATTCATTTTTTTCACAATTTAATTGTGTGCAGTACTAAAATCCCTAGAACAGGAATACTTAAATTCTGAAGGTTATCAGTAGGCATATTTAAGTGGGGAAAACACTTACATGGAAACACATCTTACCACCAACCTGCTACAACAGAAAAGCTTTTCAGAAGGACAGAATAGAAAGCATGTTTGTTTTCCTAGGGGACAGGAAAGACAATACAATTGGTATACACAAAATCATAAGTGGTTTGGGTTGGAAGCGACCTTTAAAGATCATCTAGTCCAAACCTCTGCAATGAGCAGGGACATCTTCAACTAGATCAGGTTGCTCAGAGCCCCATCCAACCTGACCTCGAATGTTTCCAGGGATCATAAAATGGTTTGGATTGGAAGAGACCTTAAAAGATCATCTACTTCCAACCCCCTGCCACGGGATATAGCATCTACCACCTCTCTGGGCAAACTGTTCCAGAGTTTCACCACTCTCATAGTAAAAAATTTCTTCCTTACGTCTACTCTGAATCTACCCTCCTTTCATTTAAAACCATTACCCCTTGTCCTGTCGCAACATGCCATCACCTGTCACTTGGTTAGCCTGCTGCTCTCTGAGGTACATTCATAACCAGAAGAGTTCACAATTCAGTAGGCATTGGGTAAGCTCGTGGTTTCAGAGTTTACCCAGCAACTGATTCTGAGAAGAATGCACCAGGAGACCACACTGACAGCCTGATGGCCTCTCAAAGCAAAGAGAAAGACAATTTTATGTACGTATAGAGCTTTGTGCTTGTCTTCTTTTAGTTAGATAAAACTTATCCCACAAGCTAAGTCATTTTTCCATGACTTCTCCAAAGTCATCCCTGTGGCTATGTTTCCTACATGCAGGCAGTGGCTGGAAAATACAATGTAGTTTCCTTCCCCTAATTTCTCTTAATACCTCCCAATTTATCTTAATAAACCCTTCCTTTACAACAATACAAAGCAACAATTGTCATGTTTGCATAGGCTATATTTTTTTCAAATTAAAGAGACTGTTTTCTCAAGAGATTATTTTGAACCAAGAGATTGAATACATTCTGTTTCTAAAAAAGTCAACACTAGGTACTCCTGTCAGCCAAATTCTGTCATGACGCAAGGCTGAAATTTTTTCTGGTCTTAATTACCACTTCTTGTTGATTCTTCATTTTATTCCATCTGGTCAGCTAAACAACCCTCCCCCTCGTTCTTTTCTCATATCCAGTAATTTTTAATGTCAGACAGTTACTCCCTAAGGAATAGCAATGTTGGGCAAAATGTTCTACTTTATCCTCTATTACATTCTTGATAAAATCTAGACAGCATGGCACTTACAAAAGAGAAAAAAAAGCTTTCAATATTCCTTCCCACAGAAGACTTCTCTTATTGATTGAAGTCTCAAGACTTCTCTTATTGATGCTCTGAAATATCCCATGGACTGCATGTTTTGAAACAAGATAACTTGCTTCATATTTAGTAAGGCTTCACAAAACTGCCAGTTAGTGTTCTCACTGTTTTTGTTATAAAAGATTACAGGACTACTTTCAATACAACTTGAGAAATTAAGCATGAATGACAAAAAAAAAAAGTTTGAAAGGCCAAATATGGCTACTACGAGAACAAACTTGAAAAATGGAAATGCCTCCTGACCCTCTATAGGCTACATACGCTTTCTAAAGGGCATTTAAAGGCTCAGACCTTATGCCGCAGGATGCCATCCTGGAAATACAATACTGACAAACCAATACATGGTTATATTCATATTTTGATACAAGCAAGTTTGACAAGGATCAAAAGTCTCAAAGTGAGAAGCTCCACCTTCTTGCCCACTTATGCTTGCTTACTATCTTGTAACACACAGAACCAGCCTAAACCTGCAGCTCTGGTGAGACACTCAGGTAGGAAAATGTAATTCTTTTTGCAGGAATTTGAATGCTTTTTTTTTTCTTCATGTTTTGAAAGGAAAAAAAGTACTGAACCCATGTGGCTGTGCAATTAGCCCGTTCAGTGCTGAAGAGGCTCCTATCAGTGGAGACTAGAAAAGCCGGACTCATTGGTTTTGTCAGCTACCCAAGACTAAGCCCTGACATCTGCAGTCTTAATGCTGACTTATATGACACATTAAATATGATACATCCGAATTAACACTGGCCATTAAGTCACAGTCAGCATCACACAATTGCTACCATACTCTAAGCACTGGCAGTGAAGAAAGTGAATCTCTGGAGAGAAAGCAAATCTTGAGGACATGCAGTGAACACAGCATTCAAATTATTACAGGATTGTTACTCTGAAATAACCACAGGCCTAAACTAGAAATTTAGCAACGGTTATGAGCAACAGAGTAGCCAAGATGCATCACTGATGACATTAAAAAATAACAGATTGCCCAAGTTAATAATCACTGATAAACAACAAGTAAGCAAATGCTGACCTCCAGAGAAGACCAATCTTTCAAAAATCAGTGTATTTAAGTCAGGTGATGTGTGTTGCTTTGAAGACTATACACAATTTTAACTTCTTAAAAAAACCTTTTCAGGAGATCTAGATTTTACCCAGTCAGCATGGTAGTATCTACTACCTAAGTTTTGCAGGGGGTAGCCATATTTTTTTTGTTTGTTTGTTTCGGGATGTCTCCTCATTTATTTTACATATCCTCATTATTTTATAACAATAAACTACACAGGATCAGGGCACAGGTCAGGCACTGTCTGCATGGCTAAATTATCAGCAGCATCTCTGTCAGAGTATTAGCCTGTGCCAGCTCTTGCTCTCCCAGACAACATTGTGACATTGCATAAGCATTGTCAAGAGACAAGGACCATTCACATAAAACAGTTTGGATGTGGCAACCTGTTTTGGCAGGAAAATTTAGCTGTATAGATGTGGGCCATGCCACACCAGTTTGTTAACGGCAACAAAAACCAGTCCTGGCCTACTCTATTTTCTAACAGTGATGTAGCCTGAAGGCTTTTAACATTAAGTTATATGGGGAAAATTTAGGCTGATGTCCAAGCTTGCAAAAAGACATTTAGATGACTAACTCCAAAAAGGGCTCAGAGAAAATTCCTCAATAGGAAGAAGTACCAAAACATGATTCAGCAAACCTTGTCATGCCCTGTTCCCATAGAAGAGTTGTGACAGACAGAGATTCAAGCTCAGGATGACTAAAACACTTTCTCAGATCACAACTGGTAGCCTTGTTTCTCTCTGGTAGAGGAACACCAATACCATCAACAGAATACATCTTTGCATATCTATACACTTGAGCTTGACATGGCGAAGGATAAGCTGAAGGATTTGATTTTTCAGATGGGGAGAAACCTCAATGTTTTCTAAGATCTAGCCTCTTTCATAGCACATGAGGATAGGATACAGACGAACAACTCTTCACATCACTGGCAGGTCATTACTTACTGTTAGTGGTTCGCCTTGGAGAGCTTGTAGGATAAAATTACTGACAACTCTACCATCATTCATATGCATTCGAGGACCAAAGGTATTGAATATTCTGGCAACTCTCACTTCAACTCCTTCCTGTAGGCAAAGAAAAAAAAAAAATCTTACTACCTTAATAAGAGTGCTTTTCTTCCTAAAAGTGCAAATTAACTCTCCCCTATCCAAAAGCTTTAAGTTTCCCTCTTACAGCTTTAACAAGCATTGTTTTCTCACCAAACACTTCTAACCTCTCATTAACACTACTGGAAACTGCAGTGCATACAGCAAAGTTATTTATACTAGTTCTCAGTATTTGAAATGCAAATTCTGAGTCAGTGTTAGAACAGCTGCCGATTTCAGCACATACGTTTTCTTCAAATGAACTTTAAGATTTTTCAATAGTTACCTTCTTAGAACAACTTATTTCACCTGGGACTTATCTACACTTTTTGCACATAAGTGAAGCCTCACAATCACCAGATACGGTACTAGGTAGCTTCCAAAGATTTTCCAAAGTTCAGAAAAGTTGAACACTTCAAGTAAGTAACTGTACCAATGTGATAAAGTAGGTGGCTTTGTAACCACAGTCACACTGTTTCTTAGCTCCCTGCTACTTATTAGGCTGTGTAAATGCGTGCATTGCAATCCAGGTCTCTTCAATGGCTTAGTTTTTTCCTGGAAACATTTATACTATGCACAGAAGTCCCTCTGCAGGATATTTTGCAAATCTTCTAAGCAAAATGCAACAAATATGTGAAATGAGAAACTGACTGGACAAAACATTTTAACACTGGAAGACTGTGGACCAAAGAAGTCTCTCTTTAGGTGTTTTCTGTTTAATGACACTTACTCATCTGGACAAGCTCATAGATGCTACCATGTGAGTGATAGCCACAAGGCAGGGAGGAAAGTGTCAACTTCAGCCTGTCCATCCTCCTCATGCTCCCTAGTCCTCCCCCCTTCCAGAAAAACCCATCTGTGTATCAGTCACAGCAAACACTTTTCATCTGAAGCAAACGTTGTGCTGCTGATTCAACTCAATTCACAAGAACAAGGTTCTGGAGTTGCGAACATTCAGTTATTCCTTCAGAGGATATACAGAACATCTTGTATTTTCAATGCCTTTTACTAAGGCTTAGACCAATGCTTGACATTTTCTTGGAAGAGAAGAGTGTGTGTGGAAGAAGTGTATTGTTGGTACATCTGTGGCTGTGGCTGAAGGCTGCAGCTCACACACACTTCACTCAGTACAGACTTGGAAGCACGTTTTTCTTAGAAATAAATGTACCCTCCAGAACAAGAGAAACCTGCAATAAAATCCAATCTTCTCTCTTGGGTCTCCAAGTGATTCAAAAACAAATGAATCCTCAGACATGTTTTGTAAAAGCAATAGCATTAGCTTTTCACATTTGAGAGAGTGAGAGAGGCAAAAGACACAATTAACACTTTAGCTATTACTTGGCATTGGGAAATGGGAAACATGAAGTAATATAGATAAAACCCAACACTTCCTAGTATAGAGAAGGCCAAACAACATCCAGTTCTGTTTAACTGCAGGTAAAATTTCAGTCACCATGATCAAATTTTGTTTATATCTGCAACTAAACTGTAAGCTAACAGGAACCAGAGAGGGAACTATTGTGCCATAGGAAAAGCTACAGTCTTGGGTCTTTGTCACACAACAGGCTTGCATCCACAAGAGAGCCAAAAAAATAACAACCAGTTGGCCCTGCTGAGGGACAGTGAAAAAAGCAGAAGTCCTCTCCCATGCAAAATGCATCAGCTGGGAACATTTTCTTAACTTCCTGTTAGCTCAAAAAGCATGGTAGTGTAACATGTCAAACATATACTTCTAGCAGCATATTACAGAGCCATTCCCAAAGCCTCCACTGTATCTGGAAATATATGCTCTGATACAGCATTTCTCATTCTTTCATTTTGCCCAGCACTCTGCCTTAAAAAGAACTCCTCCTCCTCCTTCAGGGAGGGATTGTATTTCATGTGGGCTTTTCAGATATTGCCGTTAATAACAAGTAAAGAAAATGAGGCACTGTGAAGTTAGCACTCAAGACAAAAATATCTCATTAAACAATACTGACCAAAAAGCCTCTCTTGTACTGCACAAGGTACAGTAGCAGCCTTGTTTTCTAGTACTGTCTGGAAACTAGCAAGGGATCTAGAAAAGAAAAACACCACATTCTCTATAGGCACACACAGCCACAGTGAATCCAGTATTTCTTCTCCCTTCTATTTATTCCTCTACCTCCACTGTAAATCGTCTTTTTCAATGAGTAACTTTTTATTTATAGTGTCATCTAGCAAAGCTTTCCTCTGCAGCCTACTACTCTGAAAATCTATTTTCTATGCAGCTGAATTTTCACTTGTGCCTGTAAAACCAGGAGATATCTTCTCAAAAGAAACTCTTCTACAGACAAGGAAATTTTGGAGTCAGTAACTTAAAAATTGCCCTAAGTTTCCTTTCATCATTTCATTAACATCTTCTTGTGGTTTTGTGTGGTGGGTTTGTTTGGAAGCAGGGAGGGGCCACAGTAACGGCTCCTGTAAATTAACAGCTAAGAGTTCCCCTAGCTCAGTCTGCTCTGGCAGCAAGGGAAGGGCTACAGTGGTGGCTCCTGTAACTGACTGCTAAGGGTTCACCCCCACCCAAGGCTCCAAGGTTTCAGTAGCTGGGGGGGAAGGGAGTGGGGGAAGGAAGGAGTACCACCAATCTGGCCCCTGTGAGAAACTGCTGGAAGTTTCCCCAGCTTCAGGCTGGACCCACCCCAGGCCAGGGCTGAGCCAATCAGTGCCTCTGCGAATAACAGATTTAAGAGGGGGCACAGAGCAATGGGGGTAGGTGTGGCTGCGGGCAGGGCCCGGCCCGGCCGGGGCAGACAGGCCCAGCCATCCAGCTGCCTGCCTAGCCTCTGCCATGGCTCGGCCGAGAGTCAGTTTCCCTGGGAGCCGATGAAAACCTGTAGCGGAGAGAGAAGCAGGATCTGAGAGAGACAACTACGCAGACACGCTGGACAGCGAAGAAAAGCAAGAGGAAGCAGGCACCACCGGAATTTCCCCTGCAGAGTGGTGAAGACTCGTGGTGACGCACAGTTTGTCCCTTGGTGCAGCCCATGAGAAGATGCAGCTACGGAGAACTCCACGTTGGAATTCTGGAGAAACCCACGCCAGAACCAAGGAGTCATCGGGGGACTGTGGCCCTGTGTGTGAAGGACTCACCCTGGAGCAGCTTGTGAAGGACTGTCCCATGAGAAGGGACCCCA